ACTGGCGGAGGGGAGGGGGGGAGCGCTGGTCAGAAAGCGAGTCCACCTTTCCAGTGCTTATATACCTAGCGAAGCATCCGAAACACGCACTCCCGGGCGAGTGGCCCCTTCTCGTGCTCTTCCCTCCCTGACCATATTTAGTCAACCACGGCAAAAAATAGCCTGTCAGCTGGAGGATGCTGAGCAGTATTTGGAGTTCAATCGCTGCTCGCAGCCCATTGACTACTGGTCCTGCAGGGTCCTGACTCTGCCTTTTTTTTCCCCTCCGCTATTTTTAGCTAGGCCAAATAAAGAGGGAGCTCATCTTACTACTCTCCGCTGGCCCGAGGTTTCACGGGGCCCTGGCTATGTTTGGTAAGCGCTGGCGTTGGGAGACGCGGAGCGGAGACCTTGTCTGTGCCGGAAGACCTTTGGCTCCCTCCTGTATTTATTCTTTTCCTCTCCTTTTCTTTCTTTCATCTGTATTTCTTCCTCCATGGTAGAAAGGTATCCAGGCGAGAAGATGGGGAAGAAGCTCAAGGGATCCTGATTTTCACCTTACAGAGGGAAGAACCAGGATTCAAAGACCTCATGCTGGGGCCAAGTCCTTCACCACGAGGTCCTGGGCACCTTGTTGTCCGGCCACGTCCGTCTTCCTGTGTCTCCAAAGGTGCTGAAGGCTTGGAAGGTGTTGGACCTTCTGCCCTACATGGGGAGCACTGGGGAGCCCCATCGCCAGCCAGGGAAACCCCCCCACCACGGTGGGTTAATGTGGGTCACCAGCACAGTGGTGTCTCCTGGGCCTTGATGTCACGGGAGCTTTCCAGCCTCCAAAGCTTCATGCAGAAGTACACTGAGGAGGGGGGATTTGGGCAGCACAGGCACTGCCCTTGGCTTGCACCCAGAGAAGCAGGTGAATGTCTTTAGAAACTCGAGTTAGACCCAGCTTCAAAGTAAAGATGTCCAGGACAGCAGAGCCCTGGGGAGGTCACCTTGGGAGAGTGGATAAATGATGACAGATGTGGCATTGGCTGCATTCAGCCAACCTGTCCTGCTTGTTTGCAGAAGACACCCATCCTGGAGCACCTCCTGAATCCAGTGCCCCCCCCTGCCCTGCCCACACCAGGTCTCTACACCGTGCCGCTTCATCGAGGCTCACCCAGAAGGACCACAACACCTCCTCACGCCCCAACGGCACCTCATGCTGCTGACGGACCACCGCTGTGGGCAGGCTTTGGGGGATTGGGGCTGGAGGGACTCGTATCTGCCAACGCATGCTTGGGTGGTGGTTGCTGGACGTGGAGCCGGGGTGGGAAGTTTGCATGAACCCCAATGAGGTGCCCAACACCCTCTGCTCCCATCAGCAATCAATGAACGTGGAGCAACGTGTGACGGAGATGCCTGCTCACAGGGTCTGTGCACTGCTGCACAGGGGCCCGGCAGCACCGATCCCAACGGATACCTCCACTTAGGACATCCGTGTGAAAGCAACAACTAACACAAGTTTGAGGTTGTTGTACTTGTTGGGAGCTGATAGCAAGTCATCTAAGGATGGGAAATGCCTGCAGGAACCACCCCATAGTGCCACGAGGTGGGAAGGGCTCCCAGGAGGTCCCGGCAGTGTTTCCTCATGCCCTGATGTCTGAGCTTCCCAGCTCCAAGGACGATGCCAGAAATAGCTGCCACGGCTGATGTGTCTGCTCTCTGTCCTGGGCTGCTTTGGCTCTTTGTCTCAGCCAACGGCTCTCCTGAACCCACGCTGGGAACTTGGATTTCCCTCTGCCCCCCCGGTCCCAAGGACAGGCTGTTCCACACTGTCACCGTTCGGATCGCCCAGGACGGGGTGTGTAGCAGCAAAACTATGAAGTCTGGGGTCCCTGAGGTGCCAGAGCCATCTCTGCGGTGGCCACAACATAGAGCAGCCCTCAGGCAGCTCTATCTGACCCCAGGGTTCAAACCTGCCACCCCCCATGGAACTGGCAGTGGGGAGAAAGCCTGTAGGAGTGCTTCTCCCCCCTCCCCGCTCCTCTGCCCCAACATGGTCCTTGTGACCGCCGATGTCCCCTTCGCACCTTCAGCTCATTTCCCTGCAGAGCAGCCGGGAATTTCCTGCAGTGGCGTAAGCTGCATCCATTGTTTTTTTCTCCTTCTCTTTTCCAACATCGCAGGGATGTCCGAGCTGCTCCCCCTCGGGCATCAGCTGGGACTTTCAATGCTTTCCCAGCCCGTGAGCTTTCAATAACTGAAGCCATGGAAGCCCTTCTCCACCCTGGCTCACCCCAGGGCCACCCCAAATTCATCCAGGAAGGCCTTTACCCAAAATACCAGCCCAGCCAGCACATGGGGAGTTCATTGCTTGTTAGAATCTTGGGAGTATCCTGCGGTTTTTGAGAAGCCAAGTGCCAAAAGCGACAGGTTCTCATGCTATTTTCAGCCCCATCCGAAATCACAAAGTCCCCGGGAGGAGTGGCTCCCCGTGCCCCAGAGGGACCCTGCACCGGCGGCAGGGGAGCTGTTAAGAGCCGCTTGCTATCGCAGGTGCAATCATGCCCTTCTTTGGATTGAGTGAGTTGTTATCACATCCCTGACAGGTTCCCCGGGGTTGAGAATCCATCCCAACACCGAGATATGTTGGGAACAGGAGCAAACTATAAACAGAGATGAACCAAAAGCAAGTCTCCGAGATGTGAATTAAGAGATTGTTTAAAATCCAAACCTGCTTTTTGCACACAGATTTCTTCCCTTCACTAATTGATTTACACCACACTCACCCTTGAGCTCGCAGGGACTAAAATATCTGCCTTCCTCTCCAAAATGCATGGCATCTTTTTATCAGGACTTGGTCTGGAGCTTGCTCCATGTGCCGATAACGCTGGGAGTCTGGCATGCAGAGAGTGCCAGGGGAGATGGGTCCTGAATGTGCAACCACCATAGCCTGCTAGACTTTATATATATATATATATATGTTTGCATACACTCATAAATATATACATATATACATACATATGTGTGTATGTAATAATAATGTATGTATGTGTGCATGTAATAATTCTGCATTAAAGCTCCTTTAACCAAAGAAACCTGAGGAAGATGCACGGCAGACTGTAAAACTGAACCAGTTCAAAATGTTATGCGAGAGATTGCAACACTCCAAACAAAATGCAAGATGTTACTTTAAAAGAAGCAGGCTTGGGCTTTTGAATTTATGTAACCTAAACTGATTTTGTCTGTTTGAAATTGTTGTTGCGTGTTGGGAATCTCAAAGAGGCGAGGAGCAAAGCTGCAGACGTTTCCTTTGGAGTCCAAGATTACAAGCCCCTTTACTTCTCCTTGCAGCTCCAAAGCTGCTAATGGTTTGCTTCATTTTATTAACAGCAGACAAGAAAAAAAAATTCCTCCTCGGAGCATGTGTGAGGTGACAAGTTGGATAATAACAGCTCCTTTGGAAGCTTTTATAGTACATTAGGCAAACATAGTGGATGTTTATAGACTTTTAAAAATGCTGATTATATAAAAATGCATTTATAGCCTTCTAAAATACCAAGCTACTGTAATATAAATATTTCTAATAATAAAAAACTAAAAATGCAGATTATTGACCCAATTGGAACATTTTTTGTATTGATTTCTGATTTTCTTTGGGCCAAAATCTGATCTCGAACCAAAAGACTGGACAGCGCCCTGTGATAAGAGTCAGGTCACTCAGGTTTTCACACCCTGCAGAAGATGCTGCATTTTCTTGGGATGAAACCAAACTGACCGAACCATCCACCCCGTCCCCTCTCCCAGCATCCCCAAACACCGCCAGCTCGAGGGAGCTCCTGGAAAAGCCGGGCATCTCCCAGCAACCTGCTGGCCCAGCCACCTTCCCACCTTGCTGGTGGTGAGGAGGCTCTTGGTCACCCAGGGGTTGGTCTTCCTCTGTTCTCCATCAGAACCTGTATGAATAATTAATTTTTTGTTGGCACAGAAGCTTGAATATGGCTCTGTCCTGTTCCTAGCTGATAAGGTTGCTGGGGATGTGTCTTCTCTCTTTTTTGTCTCTTTTTCTTACTTTGACCCAAAATTCCATCAGTAGGTGGAATTAGCTTTTGCCAATGGTAGTTGTCTCAACACACATACGTTCTTTCCAAAAATTAAGGTCTTGACAAATTGGCACATCCCTACCAAAAAGCAAATACCCCAAACACCTACTGAAAAGATGAGGTTTTCTTTATTTTATAAAAGCAAATCTTTTCTTGGCTTTGTCTCTTATTAATGACTGGGGAAGACCAGCTCTGGGCTTCGGAGCTGCCTGCAAAGTCCCCTAAGTCAGCATGAGATCTGGCTCTTACATCGCACGACTACAACACCCGATACATAGTTTGACCCAAAAGAAGAGTGTTTATTTCAATTTCATCTTCCTGAAGCTAATTTTCCTCCTTTTGGTAATTTAAGGTTGTTTTTTTTTTAATAAGAAGCACCTTTTCTTGTGCAGGATCCCACATCTCCATTTACTGAACCCGTTGCAAAATTTCACATTACTTGAGAAAATCTCAGCCCCACCAGCGAAGACAGACAGAGGGAAGCAGCTGCCTGCGACTCTCCCACCAGATGAAAGCAGCGATTGCATCACCATTTTGCAATGTAATGGTGCTTAAAAACACATGTCTACTAACTTCTCCCAGAGGCCAGCTCCAGCCTTTGCCAATGAACATGGATAT